CTAAATTCAACAAAATCTAAGTTGACGACACTCTCTAAAAATGGTAAAATTAAGAATTTGTTATATGTGTTTTTAAGTTTATAATTCATTCAAATCTTTTAAATTCTCCCTATTAATGAAATCCTTATAAATTATTGAGGTATTGAGGACACCTAGATTTTGAAATCTCAGTTAGTAGGATTTTTAAAATTCATACAAATCTCAATTAAGGACACTCCAAAAGAGACTACGAGTTAAAAATAAAGCCTCCAATTGGTAAAATTTATAAATTATTTATAAACTATACATTATAATGAATACACAAGAAATATTCACTTATTCACGTTTCACTTATATTATTTTTTAATTAAATTGTTTATAAATTCTTCCTAAGTGAAAGCTAAAATAAAAAACAATGTGATATCTCACATGCCCGCTTTATTTTAAAAAATAATGCTAATGGTGCTAGAATACCATTTTAGGTGTACTCACACTATGCGAGAGGCTGAATGTAAGGTAGAATAACGTGAATTATTTAATTGTTCATCTGATTTAGTGACACTTAGTGCTACCTAATTTGGTGTTAAAATACTTGTGGTGCTAAATAATATGACTCTATTTAAAATTTTATATGCAAAATAATATTTTATATGAAATATTAAAGGGTAAAGTTCATGAGTGTAATTAAAAATTTTAGGTCACTAAACTGCGGTTTGTCTCAATTTGTCATTGAATTTCAATTTAGTTTCAAATTCACCACTATCAAATTCTATTACTTACCAATCCACAAAATGACTAAAAGTGTTTGGTGGACAGCTATAATGTAGTTAATCTTTTACATAATCGTTTTGGAATACTAATAAGTGTATTTTATACAATTACATAGGTCCATATAAAAGACATTTTACTTACATTCTGAGTATTAGAATTGATTTCTATAGAGTTTTGTTTTGCATAATGAAATCTCCATACTCAAGTTACATTAGTGAAAAGGGCAAGAAAATGAGAAGAAATCAACCTTTCAAAGTGAAGATTAAAAACAGAGCATTGAAAGATAAGAAAGGTGAAAAAAGCAAGAAGAACCAAAGTGTTTTGAAGTGGCATTGAAAATTGGAAGATGAAAACTTAAAAAGAAGCATAATGGGAAGCCAATGAGCACACCAGATGGGAAAATTAGAGCACAAAATTTGATAAAAAGATCTCACAAAGCAAATAATAAATCATTAGAAACCGGGGGGGGGGGGGGGGTCTATAGGGTCAATTGACCCCCCAGTTTCTGCATTTTTATTAATTTTTTTGTTAGAATGTCAAAGTTTGAAATTTACGCTATAAATATATTATGCAACTGACAGCTCCAAACTCAACTTTGTGCCTTTGTATATCTTTCTCCCAATCTGTCGAGCCATTACCATTTACGGATTACTCACCGTTTGAGAATTTGATTGTGATCCCCTAATTCAAAGTGTCTGGATCCGTCCCTAATTAGAAAGATAATTGAATGAGTTCCAACACTTTTTACCAATCACAATTTTGAGTCTTCTACCTAACATTATACACAAATTACTAAATGCGGCTTGAGTAAAGGGGCGGAGCTTGCACCAGCCGGCTCTGATGCCCGCAAAAGCCGCGAAACTTACAAGCACAGCTGTTGACACATAAAAATTCAGCCCAGATCGAACAGCCCAGAGAGTAAAGCCCAATTGGAAGATCCCCAAATCAGATATCCCAAAGAACGAAATTCAATTAAACGAATCAAGGTGAATGCCCAAATAAGGGGCCCAATAGTGCGGTAATGCCATCGCCCAAGTTTGCAAGTCGCTCAGAATCTGAACGAATAGAGTGGCATACGGTCGCCCAGAGTCTTGTCCAAATCTTCAAGTCGCCCAAGGTATCAACAAACATAATGCATTATGATTATCAAGAAATGCAGTTATTGAGACAGTTGCTAAAGTAACCTTATCACGTTCCACGACTCAAGGGATTCAATCGAAAGCGGTTGAACGATGCAAGATAATGGCAGCAGTTAAAAGGACAGTTTCATGACAAAATGGCCACTACAAAGAAAGTGGGTAGTTATAGGGCGATCAAGCAGTTTTCTTAGAGCAGTTAATCACAAAGGGATTGCCTATGAAGTATAAAAGGGAGAAAGACCTTAGAAGCAAAGGACCGAATCCAAAACTCTCGAACAGAGAATATGTAATTTTCATTCCTTTAGTTTTTAGACTTAAACACTTCCTTTTCTGTAACTCGTGTGCTTGCGCCCCTTGGAGGCACGTTGTTTTCCGTTTCCAATTGTAAAGTTCATCGCCAATAAAAAGAACACCCCTTTTTGGGACTTTGTCTCAAGAGGTTTCGTCCCTTACACAATCGTCTGATCCTCTTTAATTGTTAGCGAATTAACACGCGCGAAACAATTTGGCACGCCCGGTGGGACAGTGGTGTTAGGTGTTGAAAGTGCAAAAGGTGAAACAATATGCCTCAGAGATCCGACAAGGAAGGAGCAAGTCAGGGAGGAATCCAGTCTGTAATCGAGCGATATGAGGAGCAACATGCCTCTCCACGAACAGATGGACAAAATCAGAGCAGTAACAGTCGTTACGAACCAATGACGGAGCTGAGTCCTCGAACCATGCGTGCATTGCTTGGAGAACTCACACAAGACGTCGTTGAACAGGTAAATCTTCGAAGTATTCATAATATGGAAAGATTTACACAAAATGGTAATGCACACTATGACAATATGGCCAAACAACTAAAGACGTTGAATGAAACAATGAACAAGTTAGTGGGCCAAATATGTCAACCAGCTATACCTCTTACAAATCACTTTCAAACTAGGACGATCATAGGACATAATCCTTCGGTCCCAAATATAAGTCAAGGGGTAGAACCACTTGCTGGCCCCTCTACTTCAAACCAAGGAGGTGCTACAATACCAAATCAAAGTAGTAGTAGTGGTATGCCTAACTTGGGGGGTAATACAAACGTGAGAGATAATGTCCTAAACAATGGACAGAATATTCCACGTGATAACGAGGGGGTAGATGTCCAGGCTAATGGTAATGGCCCTAATTATGGTAATTTTGTTGCCAATCAAGGACCAAACATCAGACATCATGCAAATCAACCGGTTAATCAGCCTGTAGGAATTCCATATGATCCCAATGTCATGTTGAGAAATCAGATTATGGAAATCGTGCAGGATCAGATGGCCTTTGGGGTGCGTCCTGTCATTAGA